TATTAATGACAGCATAATCTTTTCATGATTAATTCAGGAGCTCAGAGTTAATTGGACAAGTTCAGCACCCTGTGAATGAGTGTGTCCGTACTTCTCCACAGTAAATGGTCTATAATTACTTCAATTTTTCTGAAACCAGGAGACAGCTCTTATTAGCATTACTCTGAAAGAAGCCTTTCGCTCTTTTGGGGACTTACACAGGCCCCATCATTATCATATCTGAGCACTCCACACCACCTCTCATACACAGAGAAATGTTCTTATTTCATCTTGTGCATAACTGCAAAGGCCCCACATGCCTACAGTGAAGTTGCATGAGTACTTACGCCTCAGTCTCAACTGTGGTTTAGTATCTGTCTCTCACCTACTCATGTCCCAGCAGGTTCACTGGACCAGGCATCCCTGCCCTCACCTGAGCCAAGCTCAGAGGTCCAGCATGTCTTCCCTAAGACCAGGACCAAAACTGAGTGGTCACCACCAGGTGATAAACCTTGGCCTGATCTACCTGACAAGTCACAATTCCGCATCTGCCCCTTTCCATAAACAGCATGCTTTAAACCACAGGCCATAGCCCATTCAGGACACTTGTGCTCCCTTCTGGGGGAGCATTTGCATTTTCCAGGAAATTATTAAGGACACCTGATGGCACAGGGAAACACCATAAACCAGGTTGTGCCATGGTTAACCCATCACCCAACAGAGAGGACAGCTGTCAAGCGTGTTCCACCACCTCCTGTGTTTTAGAAGACAAATCTTGCTTTTCAAAATACCAGCCCAGTGGTGTGCATCTGCCCCTCTGGACTCATCATGGACACCTGTAATTGCTTCCCCAAATCTGAACACACACATATAGACACAAACCACATGCCTTCGTAAAGCAGGTGTTTCTGAAGCCAAAGGATGCTAAAACATATGGTCCAAGTCCCACACTAGGACTTTTTCCAAAATTGGGAATAATTTTCCTCCCTCCATATCCTTTAAAAGATATCAGAAATAGATGCACATGACATCAGTAATACTACATACAAAAGGTAAAGCTTATTTGCAGTTTGAGCAGACTTCTGCTTATCCTCTCCAGGATCATGCTGGCTCCCCCATTATTGGCAATGATGTGGCAGAGCTCATGCCAAGTTCTACACTGTGGGCTGGTTTGGCTGAGCTGGTATGCTCATACTGACTGTGCTTTCTCTCATAATTTCCAAATCCTTTTCAACTGCTCCTTTTCAGGAGGCAGCACCATGCACATACAGTTTCTGGATGCATAACTAGCTTTCAGCTGCATTAAAATGCATCCAGTTTACCCAGTTAAAATACTGCAGGACTTCCCTCTTTTTCTCATTATACACCACTCTTCACCTAGAGTACAAGTGTTATCAATAGGGATCTTATATATTCTAGAACAACAAAGCTAGTGCATTGAGGCGTCCTAAGTACAAGCATCACCCTCCAGGTGCAAAAACAAATGCTTGGAAAGGAGAGGAATAGAATTCAATGAAGAAAATGGCCCAGTCACCAGGATTTCCTGCAACTGTTCTGGGTCTCTTCTATTCATTGTTTAGCTCTCTACAGCATACTTAACTACTAACCAGGGTGAAGAGTGAGACCCAGGCCTTCTTCCAGTCTAGGAAAATTTCATTTTAATTTTTCACACTCTCACCATAAAGAAATTCCATAGGCTTAATAAGGAGCTTGAAGTACTTGGACACTTCAGATGTCATCCCTTCTAGAGCTGAGACAGGTGTTGACCTTTCAGGCTGAGCTTTTTTTTTTTTTTTTTTTTTTCTCTTCTTCTTTTGTTGTTGTTGTTGTAGGAAAGACTGAGGGATGAGATCTGACTCTACCTGTGAAGCTGAATCTTAACATATGGCTTTCTGAAGTTTGGAAATTCAAAGCTAAGGTTTTAAAACTAGCCTAGCTTACATTCTAGTTCTGCACAATTAAGTTAGCCATGAAACTTTCTTTGACCCAAAAAGCCAAGTCTGTGTTTGTCCCTGGGAGTTTTACAAATACTTCTTGTTTTGCCTAAGTTACAAACACTGTGAGAATAGGGATGTAGCCTAATTTGAATATAAACATTAGAACTGATTTATCAACTCTCTAAAGTATGCCCAAAGTCTCCCTAAGCAAAGCTGCTTTCAAGCATTATACAATAGCTGGATACAGATATAAACATTCTGAGAAAAGATCTGAAATAGAACAAAAGCTATCCTATGCTAATTGAGATCTGTAAAGTATGACAAATATATTACTATCTACCCATATAAAGTAATAATCTCACACCAGTGAGATAATCTAGTGTTAAACAGAACTGTACTTGCTCCATCTGTAAGAATTAACAGATGGAGCAACTCTTGGGGCTTTATATAACAATAATTAAACAAATCATCACAATGGACACATGATTTTATGCACAAGCTGGGGCAGTCTACAAAAAAAATACAGCTTTGCTGCTGGGTTGGAAAATTCCAGCCTGCCTCGTCCTCCAGGACATCCTCTTCGCTGCACACAGGGACTGAGAGCAGAAAATCCAGAAACAAAGCAGCTGCAACAAGGACCTTCATCCTCTGCAGGAAGAAGTTCTTTGACTACTTTGTCTGTAAGATGAGAGACAGTTAACCATGCACACTGCTATACTAAAAGTCAGTCTGAATAAAAAAAAATAATTAGGGAGAGTTCATAGCATTTGGTGTGTAAGAGAATTCAGTGTCCCCACAGGCAGCCCCTGGTACAAGCAGGTAACCTCTGTCATGTCACCTCAGTCACCAGTACCAGCAGCTCTCTCATGGGCTAGGACCTGAGGCTGCAGGTGAGCATGTGAAATGCAAGAATTACCCATTACCACCCAGGTAACACCCACCCAGCCACCCATGGGTATATATACATACGTGAATCTCTACTCATGTAGAAGGGCAAGAAATAGCAGAATAATCAAGGCACTTGAACTGCACCTTAACTGGAGAAGGAAGGAGTCCATTACAGATGAAAAATGCAGAAAGGGACAGTATTTTCTATCTTCACAAGAGCTCTCCCTCCTACCCAAAAGTAAGCAGCAGCAGCGAACCTCCCTTATCTGTCTGAGATGCTGGATACAGAGATGACCGAAGGGGGCATCCCAGGAGCTCACCTCTGAGAAACCCCAGTCATGCTAGACATGGAGACACCATCTCTATACCCCTCATCTGGGGGTCCTGCAGAGCTCTGTCCCCTCCCCACCTACTGCTCCACCTCTCTATAAAATACCTCAGATATCTTGTGCCAGAAACATGCAGATGACACATGGGTCTTTGTCTCTTGATCATGAAAAATACACAGAAATCTCCCATCGCATCTAATGCCATGGCAAAATCAACACCTGAAAGAAAATTCAGGTCATTAAAACTGAAGCTAGACCAGATCTAGGTGGGGGGAAGGAATCCATCCAAATCTACTAATTGTGTAATATCCCATCTGCTGCTGCTGAAAACGCCTGCCCCTCAAACTAATGAAGCATTTCACAGCTTTTGGGTGCTTTTGCTCTTCCAAACAGGATTTGTAAAAAAAAAAAAAAAAAATTGGCAGAATGAAACATGCTGTTCATTCCCCTCCCAGCGAAAGGATGGGGATAAAAATACAAAGCAGGTGTTCTGCTGCCACCACATGGTCATGAATAGACCCAGGCAGATTTCTAAAACAAAATGTGCTTCTTCAAAATACATCAATTCAATAAGCCTATTATTTTTATATATTTCCTTAACTCATCTCCAGTTGGGGGTACTTGTTCCAAATCCATCAGATGACCAGCTTCCCAGCCTCCCTGCCCTGGCAGCTCTGCCCTGCAACCAGGTTGGATCCAGAGATTTCAAGTTTCATCACAAACTCGGGCCTCAGCTCTGGAGTACATGTTATTTTGAAAAAGTCTTCTGAAAGAGAAAATCAGCTTTTCAGCCAACTCAGGACACATGTATCAAATACTCCTAGTGAATGACTCACTCTGGAGTGACATTTGGAAAGGGTGAAGTGGAATCCATCCCCCACTTTAAAACCTCTAGAGCAGTCCCTGACATAACTCATGCAAGGTGAGGACACCACCACCACTATTTATATCAGTGACTCCTCTCACCAAAAAACACTTAAAGAGAGAAAAGGCTGCCTTTCTGCAGCTGTAATTTAAAACGCCCCGTTGGCATTTTTATTTTTACTAAAAAGTACAAATCCACCAGCATTAGATTGGCCAAACTCTGGAAAGAAAAAAAAAAAATCATCTCAGGAAAATATACTCTTGAAAAGTACACTATGCAAAAAACCCCTGTCTTAAATAGAAATATCTAAATAACGGTATGGATTAGTATTCAAGGCCTAGAGACTCCTGTGGACTGTCTACATCAGTTTTACAAGGTATTACAGCCCTGCATATTATTATGGGTGCTCCACACCCCTAAAAATATTATAAACTGTACAAAATACAAGACTGAATTTTCCTATTAACCTCAAATATCTCTCTGCATTTTCTTTTGGGTGTGCAGAGGAGCAGCAGAGTCATTTGCTACTCCATTCTCTCAAATCTTACCAGTAATAATTATTCAGCAGCATTTTTATATTTTAGAGGTGCCCTTTTTTCCCCCCAACAGCCCTCAACAGTATCATGACTCATTAGCTCTTCTCAGAATACAGGCATTTATGAAACTCCACGCAGCTTTGTTTACTGTGAAATTCATCTCAAAACTTGAAAACAAATCGTGAAGGGCTGCTTTAAAAATTCAGCAGCGATGTAGCCATCTCAGGGAGGGGGAAATGTGTATCCAACTTTATTTCTCTTTTTGTGGAATGTGGACAAGTTTGTGAGATACCTAATTAAAAAAACTAAAACTCTGTAAATAAGTGAAGGAAAGTTGCCAGTGGTTTTACATTTTGGTGACAAATATTTCCAACAGTTAGTTCTCTTAGGGGTCACTTCCAGTCTTTATTAATGAAGAATGACACGGTCTGTGATGTAGCCAAATCTTTGTTCAGGGATGTGAAAAACAAGGCTTAGGATGATTCAGCTGCATACCATAACGCAGGTTCTAATTAAAACATTTATTGTCTCTATGTATCATGAGAATTTCATGACCCTATGGTTTAACCCTACTTAATAGATTAAAGGTACTGCCTTGTGCATTTAGTGTGCTGTAGCTCAGTCCTTGTCTGATACCAGTGAAGAGCAATATGGATTGGTACATGGAATGTATTGCTTATAGTGGAAACAGGCTGGTTCCCATTACAATATCAGTCTCAAAGCATGCTTGTCACTTTGTCCCTCAAGGTAATTCACCAGCCATAGGTACAGTCATATATCATCCTTTCTCCAATTTGCCTTAGAGTGAGAGAATTTTGAGACATGAATACTCAAAAACTTTAGGATCCATCAGATAAGATGGCTTGGGTTGGGTTGATTGTGGAGTCTGCACTGATTTCATTTAACATGAGAGGCTGAATTCAACACTAGCATTTGGGATGACTATTTTCAGCTGTCATTGATATTACTTGTCCAAAGTTTAAGAAAAAGATGGCTACCACAGCAGCCTGTGTTTCACAAAGCCATTTACAGTAGCGCAAATTACTGTCATTTATTTTATCCTAAAATACTTCTGTTGATATATGTCAGTGCTTTATTGTGATGGTTTTGACTTCGGTGAAGAACTCATAGGAATCCTTTGCTCCCTCCCTTCCTACACCCGAGGCTTTCATCCCACCAAATGGCAAGTTCAGATCTCTAACAAGCCAGCAGTTGGTCCACACCAATCCAGACTGTAGTCTTTTTGCCACCCGATGAACACGTCCCACATTGCTGGACCACACAGTGGCTGCCAAGCCGTATTTCACGCTGTTGGCTCTTTCAATCACTTCTTCTTCTGTATCAAATGCTACTATGCATGTCACAGGACCAAAGATCTCTTCTTGCATGCAACAAGATTCATCCTTGACTTCAGTAATAACTGTGGGCAACATGAAGTAGCCTTTCCTGTTGCCAGCTGGGAGAGCTAAGGGATCCACTCCCTCTCCACAGAGGACTCTGGCTCCTTCAGCTTGGGCTTTCTTCACATAGCTCCTTACCTGGGAAATGAACAGGAAAACATCACTGCTAAAGGACACCAAATCCTGAGGGTCTACCTCTCCAGTCTGGGCACATCAACAGGAGCTCCTGAATATCTCCAACTAGGTCACGCTGCCTTTACTTCCCTCCCTAGCTTTTGTTATGTTTCTGTAAAAGTAAGGCTGGTTATTTCTTGCTGTAAAACAATCTTTCTCTCTCTGTCTCCAAACATCTAATAGCCTAGCAGACAACACAATTGGACCTTCTTGCTAAGTATTCTCAAAATGGTAGGGCCCCTAGTGAAAACACAACCAGTCCTGGAGCCTCCCTCCAGTCCTCCAGGAGCTTGGCCAATTTGCCATGTATTCCATGCTACAATTCACTCATTTAGTCAAAGGGATGAGTAATATTTTCCTACCTCACAGGCAGGCTTGTTCAATGTTCACATGCCACAAGGATAATGAAGCCATGAATGCTATAGAAAATCTCATCAATAAATAATTAAAGCTGTTTCCATGGCTGCTGCTATCATATGCTACTTTGAACACATAGGACATGCTATTAATCTACTTCTGCCGTTCTGAAATCATTGCCTGGTTTCTCTCCCTACAGAAACACCACAAAGATACCACTGGGCTTCTTTCTCTTTTTCTTCTTTTAACCACCTCAGTAGGTTAGAGTCGGAAGTCCTCTGTGGTGCCACAGACCGAGGACCTCGGGAAGTGGGTGTTTCTGCCACTACTTCTGAACACGCCTGGAGAGCCTGCTGAGGCATCAGGAAGCATGACAGAGGTTTGGCTTTCTCTCTCACTCTGCGGTTTTCGGTCTGCTTCTTGCTTATGCTGATTGTGTCAGATAGTTTTGGGATGTGAGCATCTGCTCTCCTGAACTCTGACACCAGAAAAATTCATTTCATACAAGCCACTAAAGCAGACTATGTTTAACTGTGCACCATCTCCGCTTCCTGCTACACATACGCAATTCCAAATAACTGCCAACAGTCCTAGGAAACTGTGTCTTGTACTCCCCAGAATTTGCCAAAGAGTGATACAAAAATAAAACTTTTACCTTGTTAATTACTTAATTAGGCAAATAAGTGATCTCAGCAAACACAATATGAAAATCCATGAAAATGTTGAATACTAAGAATGGTTAATATAAATTCAGGATTTAGATTTACACACATTTTTAATTATTTCACTTCAAATGGGAAATTATTTTTTGTCATTTTAAATTATTTTCCCCATGGAGTTGATTTTTCTGGAGTAATCACATGATCCCAAGCCACAGGCAAAAGAAATCTTATCAAAAAGATACCTTATGATTTTGAATCATCATCCCTCAGTGATCATCTTGGAGAGGACATGGTCCTTCCCATACACCTCTCAAATCACCTTTCATAGCCCTCTAAAAATGAGATGAGATCATGTAAACCTCATGTAACACTACCTTTTCTAGGTGCTCTTTACTTATTAGTGCTCCTATGTCGACTGTAGGATCTGAGGGGTTCCCAACCTTCCACTTCTTAGCCTCTGCCACAAACCTCTTCAAAAAATCACTGTATATGCCCCTCTGAACAAAGATCCTGGAGGTGCAGAGACAGATCTCACCCTACCAAAAAGAAACAAACAAGAAAAACAACAATATTAATTCATATTACATTGTACTGATGATGATTATTGACTCACATCCCAGTATGAGACTTGTGCCTCTGCATCCTCAGGAGTGCAAACAACATTCACCAACACTGCAAAGGAGGATTTTTCCCAGATTAAAATGTAAAAGAGAAGAAAGACAAAACAGCAATAACAGGATTGTACAGTCACTTACTAATGCACATAAATTTGGTTTTCCATTGATTACATGTTGTCTTCTCCAACTTTTTCCATAGGAAATGTGATTTACTATTCTGAATGATTTCTGTCTTCATTTCCTGATAATCACTTTCTGATACCAAGCTAGTTTTCTGAACATTTGCCCTGATACAGTTTCACAGCACTGGTGATCTCTCCTGAGGGTGGTGATGAGGGAAGAGGAACGTTGACAGAATTTTGGGAGGAGACTCTTAATTTAAATCCAGAAAATCATCAAGCTTCCTACTTACTTACAGGGTGGAATTTAGAGCAGTTGCTTTCTAGAAGGATAAGCAATATATCTATTTTGAGAGGGATAATAACACTTTGTTATTTTCTGATGGAGAGTACTAGGAAAAGCCCTTTATTATTTTGTTTCCCTGCTTATGGAGTAGTGAAAATTTTTTTGTATTTTTCTATTTACAGTTTTCCTACCGCACAGAACCTCGAAACAGACCATGACAATTTAGGATTTGGATCCAAAGGTACAGGCACGTGCACACACACTCAGAAACAAGCACATCTCCTGCTGCAAACAGGGTTTATATGCTATTGAGGTGGGAGGCACCTGATTGGCAAAGCTGGACCTCAGGGTCGTGGGGATGCACTGGGCCAAGTCAGCATCATCGAAGATGATGGCAGGGTTTTTGCCTCCCAGTTCTAGTGAAAGCCGTTTGCAGTGCGGAGCACTTTTCTCCATGATCCGCTGGGCCGTCAGCGTGCTTCCCGTGAAGGAGATCAGAGGCACGTCAGGATGGCAGACAAGGGCTTCTCCAGCCTTGGTGCCCATTCCAAACACCACGTTCACCACCCCGTGGGGTACTCCTGATGGGAAGAAAGGCACACGGTCATCATAGTCTTTCTCTTGCTCTGCAGGTTTCACTTCACTGTGTTTTGTCTCTGAAGTTAGAAAATTACCAGTAGCTCCAGGGTGACAATGACTGACAACTTACATAATAGCTGAAATTCATGATGTTTAATAACTCTGGAGGTCACAGGTTAAAGGATAAAACCAATTCCACTGATCAGTCAAACTTGCCTGGCATCCATCATCAGAGACTCAGTTTTCAGTCATTCAGGGAAGAAGCAGCTGTCCTCCCAGTTTTTCTTAATAGTGCACTAAATACAGCCACGACAGCCACCAAGAGCTGATTCTCACTCTCTTATGCCCTCATCGTTCCTCTGCTGGCACCTCAGACTTAGGACATCCTTAAGTGGACTGCAGGAGAGGGAAAGGAGGCACTGGAAGGCTTTTCATGAGAAGATAACAGAAAAAACTGGGCAAGAGCTGGAGTGGGGAGATGGGGTAGTATGAGGACAGGGAGAGTTTTTTGTTCTTCAGTGAAACATTCAGCTACGGCAGTCTTTCCCAGATTCTTTGAGCACTTTCTCATTTCTGCAACAAAAAATAAAATGGTGCACAGGCAAGTATTCCCACCCTATTCCCCCTCCCTAGCATGCTATGGGACTCACCCGCTTTCTCCAAGAGTTTGCACATCATCCAAGCTGTGACAGATGTCATTTCACTTGGCTTGGCAACCACGGTATTTCCACATGCAATGGCAGGAGCTATCTTCCAGGTCAACAAATATAGTGGCAAATTCCAGGGACTGATTAAACCAGCTACAGAGCAAAACCATAGAAGACAAGAGTTCAGTCTGCTGGGAGACAAGATGTGATTCTCTAACCTCAAGCAGTTATACACCAATTCAGATTTACGAAAGGAACTTGGCTACAGCTTTTATTTCCAGACAAATGTGCAACAGATTTGTGGCTAGAAACATTTCTTAGAGGCAAATAATTTTAAAAGATTTGTGTAAATGATGCTAAAGGTGATCAGATGAACTCTCTGAATAAGTTTTGTTCCTTCTTTACTGCAGAATCTTACATTCACAGTAAGTGAATTTTCAGTGGTTTATAGAAATATTAATGCAAAGTTAGCCATAACAACTACGTACATCAACTAGTCTGTGGATACATTCTGTGTTAGCCAACAGCAAGTTAAGATAATGTGTGTTACTTCAGATCACTCTGGCTTTCTCTAAAAAAAAAAAAAAAAAAAAAAAAAAAAAAAGAGCATGCATAACATACAGTGCATATTTTCCTGATAAATTTTAGCCTAACTTATGAGTGCCAAAGTTTATCAATGTACAAACTGCTGTTTTCACAAATTGCTGAATGACCAGAATTGCTTCAGTAGTTGCTTTTGGGAATACTTCCACCTTACGTATTTATAGGAAATAGTGAAAAATAATCTGTAATTGTTATGTGTGATTGCTGACAAAAGTCACAGGATTTCTCACTGTTTGATGGAGCAGATGCAGTGAGTGACTTTTCCTTATGAGAGTAAATTTACCAGAAGTACTCATGTTCTCCACTGCCCACAAAAACTTTTAAATGTGTCCTCTAGGTTAGCTAATTTTATTTTTTAAAATATTTCAAGTGTGAATGTGGAACATTCATCTATATTTAGATAAAACACCTAATAATTGAAACATTACAACTCCATTCCTCCTCGAGTCAGCACAGCCACTTTATTTATGAAGCCTTAGCAGCATCTAGGGGCTGAGTTCAGCAACTCCCCAGCTAAAAGCAATTTAGCCATTCGTGCATGTTCCAGTCACAGGCTGAAATGTCACATTGCAAGCTACTACTGCTTCTCCAAAGGCAAGGAGGATCCAGCTCTCCCTGCAGTGCTTCTGAACACCTCACTGATCTACAGCAGCAATACTTACCTACACACACAGATACACGTGTACAAAACACGAGAGGTATTTTGAGAGTGAGAGCTAACAGGTTAAAACAGATGCTTAAGGCATATAAGTATTCTTTTTACCATGAAGTAGCATGACTGATTTTACATAAAGTTGCTCATGCTTTAGCAGACTAGCTGTGTTTAGCACATGATCCAGAGACAATAAATGTTTTGAAAAATCCTCTTTCTTTGTTGAGCCACTGCTAAGACAGACACTCTGCCAAGCTTTTCAGCATTTCAGTAACACCATACCAACTCCCACAGGTGTCCTTGAGGTATAATGCACACAGCCCATAGTTGCCATCTCGGTGCACTCTGTTGTGTGATGAAGGATGGAAGAGGCAAAGAATCGGAAGTTGTACACGGCCCGAGGGATGTCCACCGTTCTAGCAAATGTAATAGTTTTTCCTGAAACAAAACCAAGCACAGTGCTCTTATCACAGGCAGAAAATAGCTCATCTGAACACCACTGTGAACAGTGCTTCAAACTCTGCTCTGAACACTATGGTTTGTGTGGTTTTTGGGACACATCTTTTGTCCTACACCCAAGTAATCTCCTGCACAGTGTAACCAGTCAATAACAGTTCCCCTGTAGTACTGCATTACATTATTATTACATTACATTGCATTACAAATATTTAATAACTGAAGTCAAAATCAGCAATTCTGAAAAACAGAAATGTCCCAGAAATCCAAAATCAGCAACTTCTACAAAGGTCATGCACATCAACTCCAACTTGTACCAACAGCTCATGACATACTAAAGTTTTGGACCATATCCTCCCATTTCAATATTCAGCATGACACTATATTTGAGATCAACAGTTCCAGTTTTTACCCTGATCCTTTGACTCTGCTTGTGCAAATTCTTCCAGGTCATGTTCAATCAGGTCTGCCAATTTGTTCAGGATCTGAGATCTTTCCAATGGACTTTTTGAGGACCAAATTGGGAAGGCATTTTTGGCAGCTTTGACAGCAGCTTCCACCTAAAAAAAGCAAAAGTGGAATGGTGAATATTAACGGAAGGCCTTAGAAGGACTATCAAACAATCAGCAGATGAACTCATATATGAGAAGCTAATAATCCAGATCACATTCTTGGGAAGACTTCAGCTTTACAAAGTTGTGACTACTGATAGCTTCTCCGTTTTCATCTTCTCAAGACACTATCCCATAACTCAATACAGTTTCTTTTCTTGATACTGTATTTCATTGTAGCTCTTGCTTTTCTTTAAATTCCAGCAACTTATGGGCAGCCTTCCAGACCTGGAGGAAATGCCAGACTGGTCAACTGGCACTGCCAAGTGCCACTGGCTGAACCCATGCAGAACCTTGTTTTTCATGGGGGAAAGTGCAAGCATCTCCCAGAGCAAATGCAGCCTTGGTCTAAACATCCAGAGTCCTTGCAACATGGGACTTCAGCCACACCGGGCAATGATGAAAGTAAGGGACTGGGAAAGGAACAGACTATATTCCCTGCCTCTGTTTTCTCCTTCTCTTTTCCCCAGCTGGTTCAAGCAAACACTAAGAATATATTTACATAATAGACAGAGAATTTTTTTTTAAAAAAAATTAGCTCCTTTCTAAAACTCTTGGGGTTTAGTCAGTTCTCTCATCAGATACTTAAAGTCTACAGATATGAAAGCTCATTATATACACTTCATATACATGCATATCAGTCTTGCCAGTATTTTGCCTGAGATGTACATAACTACTGCATGGTCCTTCAGCCTGATCTTTAGGAACTGTGGTAGAATATCACCATTTTTCTGAATCAGACTAGGCTTCAAAGGATTAAAATTCACCAGAAAGCACTCTCTTCCATCAATCACTGCCTCTAGGCTCTTAAATGAAAGTTACCTGCATCTATTGATTTATAAGCAGTTCCTTCTTGAAATTGTTTTCCATTCTAAAGATAATTACCAACATCCTTCCATATTTTAATTTACTCCATTTCCCAATTTCTGCTTCCTATCTGTCACTTCTTAATTGCTTCCAAAATCTAACGTATGCACCAAGGTGGGCCTTTAGCCAAAGCTGTCCTACTTGCTTTTCCATCATCTTTGCTCTAATATTTCTTCAGCTTTTGGAAATCTGCCCAAGTCAATAACTAGGAGGATGCTGATGTAGTAATAATCAGATAATTCTGACCTTTTCTAATGCTGTCACATTGCTGGTTCCCATGCAGTCACTGAAGACTCCAATTCCACAAAACCGAGTTGTGAATTTGTTCCTTCAGATAGTGATGAGTGTTATAAAAACAATCACAAAATAATTTATAGGCACTCCAGTGATGTTTTACTAACAAGGGCACAAAAATTCAAATAGGTGGAAATCCTAGTGAGTTGTTTGTTTTTTTTCCTTCCATGAACATCAAAATTTATAGTGTAGTGTCCCTAAAAATAAGGACCCAAGCTTGAGGGCCAGAACAATAATGGTAGAGAGGTCTGGGTAGGAATAAACCAACACGCACAAGGTCACACGGGTCACTGGCCAAGTTCAGACTCTTTTGACTGTAGTTCAACAACCTACCGCCCAGGTGCCGACAGCAGCAGGCTGGCAGCCACCAAGCAGCTGGAGTAGGGCCAAAGCAGGCCTGGGAAAGGGGAACTGCAGCTTACTGAGCAAGTCAGGTGTGGATGGCACACTACTCTGCAAAGATTTACTCTCTGTGAAACCATATCACCCTTACTAATTAACTTGTTCTTCCACCCTCCTGTCATTAGGTGCCATTGTGGTGCTGCTTCTCATTTGTCCTCTTTGTGGCCCTTTCCACAGGGTGCTTGCTGCTTGCCTTGAGAGGGCTGTTCTGCAGTTAAGGCTGCCTTTTTTAACCCTGGTTTAAAATAAGATGTTGCATTTTCAATGACAGCAGAAAAGAAAATCAGCAAAGAAAGGAATGAAGTGGCAGTAGATTGATCTAAAAAAAAAAAAAAAAAACCAAAACCAAACCAAGAGGAAAAGAAGGGGAAAGATTTGTACAGTTGTAAGAGAGTGTACAAAGGTTAAACAGTTCCTTAGTTTGACTAGCAAAAAAGCAGCAAAGAAAGTCAAGCCACAAAGAAAACATGCATAAGAATTCAACTATGAATTCAAGTGTCTGAAACACTTCCTTCTGCTTTTCTCTTCTGCACAAGACAGAGACAGAGAAAGAACAAATCCAGAACTATCATAAAAGGTAATAGGAAAATCCCCCAAACTGCCCTCAGGACGTGATGTTTGGTTTCCCAGTGGATGATGCACAGGATCAAGGTCCTTTAGAGAGAGATCATTTTAAGGAGATATTTTCCAGGACTAATTAGCCCTTACCAGCCTGTCTTTTGGAGATACAGGGCACCTGTTCAGCCTGCTTTGGTACTGCTATTTGGAATTTAAGTTATCTAGCTAGGGGATAAATTAACCCCTGAAAAAAACATTTGATGTTTTTGGCAGAAACTGGATGAAATAGCCCCTTTAGCTGAGCTGGTGTTAAATTTCAGGGTCAGCAACTGATTCACTGTATGTCTCTGTTCTGCCTTATAACCCTCCATTAAAATTAACCAAGAAAAAAATCCACATTAAGCCTTAACTAGAAACTAGCATCTTAAGTTCTTTGTTGAACCTGGGCCTAGAAGCTTATTTTGAAATCTCTGGATACCCTCTAAGTAGTATGTGATTGCACTTTCTCCTACAGCATGTTCCCTCAGTCACTAGAGGATGCCAGCTCTACAGAGCCTGACCCTCTTGTATAGTTGTCTAAAGGCAGCAGTAAAGCACTCACTGACTTTATGGCTGTTTTAACAGGGTTCCTACTGCTACACACAACTGCTAACTCAGAAAACTGAAAGAGAAAAGCCATTTCTCTTAATATACATTTGAACTATAGCTCCAGAATGGCCAGAGCAGCCTATTTTTGTTAGGCCGCTCTAGCATTCTGACATCTCTCTGGTTTTAATGATTTTGCAAATGAATGAATGGGAAGATTTGCACCTGCACAAGAAAAGTCTTTTCAGGCATAATTAGGGTTGGAAAGAACTTACACAGATGTATTCTAGCAAACCTAACCTGTTACTCTTTAACCCTTGGTCATCAGCATCTAGCAAATATTTACCCAATTGAAACTACAGTGCAAAGGTTTCTGCTGACAGAAACAAAGAGAAAAGATGTTAACAGGACTGAAATGCAAGTGAACCACTACACACAGCAGTGGTTTGTTTTAAAAAATGTTTTGAAAATATTGTATGCTACTTGTCAATATTTTCTAAGCTCTTTGCGTTATGCAAGCTTTTCCAGTCATTTCTCTCTTCAGTAAATCTGAAACACTGTTGGACACACTCATAGGTCCCTTATAAAGTAGCATCAATGAAACTGCAGCTCCCCAGATGAATGCCACATTGCCCATCTACACCTGAACACATATAAGCTACCAGGAGACATTCATCCCACTAGAGAGCACAGAATGAGGAAACATTACAGCGATGCAGAGGACAGGCTACATTATAACGAAACATAAACACATCACAGCCACTTCACCCCCTCCACTTAATATTCAACTGCTAATATCAAACCGGAGAGGTCTGGAAGCTTTTTACCATACATCAGGGAAGATCCAGCAAGCCAAAAATCCTTTTAAATGACAACTGCAAATCATCAAGACACTCGGGAAGAACACATTTAATTGTATATGGTGCCTTTAAGTTTATTCACAGAAGAGATCAATAAACTCTCTTCTCTCTTCCAGATTGTTTATACTCACTGTCAGTCTAAGTGCTATTGTTAACTTATGTACAAGACATCTTCCACGTGAGCTGAAGTTTCGCTGAAGTAACTGAAACTTTGTTGATTTACAGCAGCCTCAGACCCAGTCTATAACTTTCTAACAGCAAAATGTAAAAAAATAACAATATTCTCTGCCACAGCAATAGATTACAACAGTGCTACAATACAGTCAAGATTCTACCCACTTAAGCATTTAAGTCTTCAGTGTTTTTCTGTTCTCCCAACTTCAGCCTCTCCCACTCAAAATATTACTTATGTGCATTTAACTTTTTCACTTCTTTGTACATTTGGATACTACTCACCTCTTCTTTGCCGCTGTCTGGCACCCTGCAATAGATATCCCCAGTGGACGGATTATAGGAGTCTATGTAGGAAGAACAAGGAACAAATTTGCCAGCTATAAAGTTTTCCAGCACTAAGACAGCCTTTGCGTGAGCCATTGTTAGCTGCTTGCTTCATCTGTGATTTTTTTCCCTACAGGATATCAATTTAGATTAGTAGGTCTGTATGTATTTGCACAGTGAATCTGAACTCCTCCCCCTCTCTCTCCTTCTTCCGAGCACTGCTCCTGAGTGGGAATGAACCCTGGCAACAACAGCAGAAAAGAGGAAAGCAGGTAAGAAATTACTACTTCTATGACACTTGGTTCTCTTCTCTTGAAGGAGGAAGGCAGGATCAGCTAAGATGCTGGAAAACAGATCCTCTCTGTCTACAGGAAATAAGATACTAAAGGGGGAGAAAAAGAATGGTTTGACAGGGAAATTTCTCACTGTATCAGCTTTTCAAACTCAAGTCTGAAGAAAGACATTTTGCAACAACTACACAAAATAATTCAAGACCTAAATACCTAGCCAGGAACCTGCTCCTCACCATCAGTAGACAGAGAGAAAAGACACTTGGACTAGTATGTCTGCAGCTCATATTTACTGTTTTCATCAATACTTTCCCTAGTAATCAAAAAAAAAAAAATCGTTCTGCTGAAACAGAATATTTTAAACATAAGAAACTACCTTTTTTTCCACCAATGTCCCCAAACGTTAAACAATACAAGCAGCTGAGTGGCCCTTCAATTCAAAACAGTTGAGAAGCACAATCCTACCTGGTACACTCTGTGGTATGTTGTCAAAAATCCAGTTTTTAAAAAAGAAGCAGGACACCAGCTTTCATGATTTCCCTTCCATAGATATTCCAGCAGAAGCTACCTTACTACAAAGAAGCCTGTTACACATACTCAGATTTTTCTTTAACTTCCCAAGAACCTGCAGTGCCCATTAACTAAGAGACATTTTTCTCCAAGAGAGAATGCTTACATTATCAAATTGCTTTAAGATTGCATGACACCTTCTTGCAGTCCAGAGATAATCAAAACACTACAACCCTATTAGAAAGCAGTATGTTGTCACCATGAGACTATCTCAATCAACAGTTTAGAACATTTTTGCACCTTAGAGCATTTCCAAGACATTAAGTTTCTTGTGGATCAACAGACAATTTTGATCAAATAATGGTGGTAGGTTTTTGTTGCACAACAACAGATCATTTATGCATTAACCAACTGGTGCCTCTGGGCAGAGTTCAGTTCAGTGCTGGAACTGGATTAGGTAATACTTCTGGCTCTCCCAAGCTACAAACTGGGAAAGCATGCAGTAGCTTTTCTGTAGTCACAGAATACTGAGTCTCAAAATTTAATGCAACCATGTGTGAGAAGGGTTATCAGAGGCTTATTCCATATCACACTTCCTTGTCCATAAACATCAAGGGATTTACTGAAGTCTTAAAACTGAAGACACATTCTTCTGCCTCTAGCACTTCAGCTGTACCCTGACTTAAAAACAACCTAAACATTTTAAAGGTTTAAAGGCAAGTGGAACACGTTCAATGCAAGAGCTTGGCATTATGAATGTCTGGAATCCAGCAAGTACACCAAGATCTTCACGGCTGTTGATAAGTGCAATTTCTGGACTATGAAAAGACATAACAAATAGTCATAATTCATAAACTTCGGTTTTGGCAATAACAGATTTCAGGTATTTCAGATCCATAAGATTTTACAAAAGTCACTGCCATATAAAGCATTACTGATACTTCTACAAATGTGCATGCAGTCAACAGTACAATTTATCTATGTGATCAAATGCAGATATACGCTGAATTGGGGCTAAAGCAGGTAAGTGCAAAAAAAAATTACCTACCAAAAAAAGCAGGTGAGAAGAGTAGGTATAGACCATAGAAAACTTTGAACTAAATAACAATCATATGCTTTTTGTGTTCTTCACTACATAGGACACAGATTTACTTTGGTTAACTCCAGTGACTGATGCTCTGGAGCGAGTAATTTAGTCCCTTCCCCACACTACTAACTTCAGTCAAAGCAGTCATCCCCACCCTGCACTCATGTACAGGTCCTGAAATAACTGAGGTCCTCTCACACTTCCTATTGAAAAAAATAATCCAAGTTGTAGTAAAGTGTGTCTGTCCTGACCTTAAGCTGGAGATGGCAGAAGTACCCTCTTTTCAGTTGAGAGGTTTCACCTGCCCTGTTACTGAATAGCAGAAAGGAGGAACAAACTTGAGTAAGCACAACAACCTGGCTTTAGCATACATCCAAGACTAAACTGCCAGCTTCTCTTCAAAAGAGCACCAAATCTGGATGAAAGAGTTGTGTATGTGCAGCAGCTGCACCAAATAACATGAGAAAAAACAGAAATTATTTCCATAGAAAGATATGTCACATGCCAGTTTCGCATTTTAACTCATAAGTTTACTCTGAAACTTTTGAGTTACGGAAAGTAAAGAATGATTTGACACAATTTAGAAGTGTTTAAATAACAAAAGATGAAGGAGACAAAAATTATGCTCAGACAAAGTTATTTTATTATCCTTACAGTTTAAAAAATAAAATTAGCCAATGTTGGCACAGCTTCCACTACACAGCAAAAGAAAACTTTTTTTAAATAAATTTTGGGACAGGGAAAACAATCCTGGGATAATACTACATGCCATTCTCTTAAACCCAAAGTAAATAGTTCTTTTTTTCCCTGAATATGCATTCAACTCAAATCTAAAAATATATTAGACCAATAAAGTTACTTTACTGAATTAATGTGCAGCAAAAAATCAAATCAAATAAAATATGTAAACAATTTATGTCTGGAAGTAAGAAGTGTGTTTCATGATGATTCATCATCTTTTTCTCTAATTCAACTTTCTAAGATTTTTCCCTCAAATTCTCTAAGGGCTAAATTCTGCATGGAGAAACACAGGAGTTTCTTGAGATCAAGAGTGTAATGTTAGCAGTTCCTTGTCAGTTGGCATCTTGTTCTGCAGTGGGAGAGACTGATGAAGAGCTCCCCAGATGTCTCATACAATTTAACTTTTGCCATCATCATCTTCTCCCCAATTAATTGCACTTGTTCCTTCAACTGAAGTAACTGGATTCTTAAACAGAAGTTTGGATATCTGATTGCATTTTGGTTGGACGGCAGAAGTTCTTGCACCACTGTCATTCTTTAATCTAAAAATATAAGCAAATGGCAAAAACCTTACAGTGAAAAATTAAGTACTCAATGTAAAACAATCACTGCTTTTTCAAATTATATAGTTAGCGGGAAAAAATATTTCCTTTTGCTCTGAAATTCTCTGGAACAAGATCACAAGTACTAAAATAGTAATTCCCAAATAGCAATCAAAGAGTTATTTAGCCCCCAATTTTACAAACAACAGGCATCATAGATCTAAATAGGACCCTATTCACTTGAAGTTAAATTTAATGAAAAATGGGTGCAAGATTAAAGCCCTAATTCCAAATCCTACTTAATACCAGACAGATTGGTAAGAGCATTAGAACTCCATGAGGCCCAGAACCTCTGACAGATTGATTGCATCATTCCTACATACAGAGGGAGAAGCCAGAAATTCTCATGCTCTAGTCCCACGTTCTGACATTAAATGACACAGCTTTAAGTCTCAGTACCAGAATTTGGTTAATGCCTCGGGCCTAGAATTAGAACCTAAATTCTAATCCAAAATCATAGCAAGATTTTTTTAAAGCGACAGAGACACATTCATATGTTTTTCCCATAATAGAAGGCAAAACATTTATATTTAGCCCCACAGCCTTTGCTTCCTCTCACTTACACAGGATCAAAAAAATGTCTGTAGGCATCGGTAAGAATCAAATGTACAACTGTCTTTAATGCTAACACAAAAATATCTGGGACTCAAACTACTCACAGTAAAAATGGTCAACACTGATTATTTACAAACTACTTTCAGTATATTTATACGGGCCATTTGATTTCAGAAAGAGTGACATATGTTAAATAATGAAGGATTATTTTTTAACTTGAGAGAGGGGGGAAAATGCACAACATTCAAAAATTCTAAATAGAGTAATTTTTGCTCCTAATAAACTGAACAGAACCATGGCAAGTTTTCCTCACATCTTGCTGAAGCACTGTCTCTCTTTCAGGAGAATAAATTCACTTTTTAGGCTAAAGGGTGTAAAAAAAGGTCTTAACCATAAAAACTAAATGCTATGTGAAAGTTAACACAGTTCCTTTACAGTATAGAAAGTCCATTACAAAAATGCTGTACCTCTGTGACAACTCCTGCAGCAATAGTGGAACCACTGTAGCGCAACATAAACCTCCCAAGCTCTTTAAAATCTTTATACAATTCTAAAGCAACAGGTCTTTGAGTCTGTAGTTCTATTAGAGCATTCTGCCCTTTAGTCAAGAACCTGCAGGTAAATAAGCAGAAAATTCTATTACAAATATATGCATGCACAAATGAAAAAGAGTACAGTAAATAAATGGGAAAAATCAATGTAAAAAGCCAAAGGTCTAATGGTCAAGATGGATTTCAAGTATGGTCCAAGCCACCCGACTGAAAACTCACATGCCTGGAGAGAATGTCTCAAAAAAGGCATGAGTTCTCTTTAAAACAATTCTAGAGAACGGCATTCACCACAACATCTATGAAATTGTTTTGAAATTAATTATCTCATTAATACCTGTTTTTTTCACATCCAATAGAAATCAAGTCTTGTTTCAAACACAATGACTAAAGAGTCAATTCATTGCTCTATAGAAGTCATGACTTTTCTTCCCATTACCTTTCAGCAACAGTTTCAGCCATGCAATTTCTGGAAAAGGATTATTCGGATAACATTGTATGTATTTCTACCCAAATCCAGCTTTAAATAACTAGAAGAATGTTCCCATAGTTTAACTTCCATGGGAAGACTCCCCAAATTCCTTTTTCTCTGATCCACTCTTTAGTTGAGTTTATTTTAGACAGTAACCCATTAACCCATCTCCAGAATTATACCAAGGATCTCATGCTACTACAGAAAGAGTAGAGATGATGTTTAAAAAAAAAAAAATAAAAAAAAAAATCCTTTAAGTGCAGGGCTGGTGATCTAAGATTCACTCCCAATTCTGTAAGTGACCTTAGGCAAGTCGGTTTAGTTC